TGCGGTCAAATTCAGTTGGATGTTTCGGCCAAATTCTTTTTAAGTGAACAAACTAAATCAGGAATCAAAAACCACAACAAACAAGAAAGTAAATGCTAGTATTATGGACAGCAAGAGCAAATGAGAAATTAAAAGCGAATCAAGAAATAGGAGGAGAAGGGGGTGGGTGGATGGGTTGGGGGAAGGAAGGGTAGAAACAGAAATAGAATTAGATAAAGGTATCTGAACTTGGATGTCTGTTGGGCTGAGAATGCCTTAAAAAATAATTATGCAATTTTCCAAGTTAATTTTTATCATGGTTTGGGGCGTCGCAGGTCGACCCAGCCTATAATGGGTACCAGGATGTATGTCCTAGGGAAGTAAAGACGGCCGGCGTAATGCTGACCACATTATCCACCTAGTGCCGTTTGGTCTGTAAAAATATGGGTGCTCTTCCCACATGCCTGATGCGCCTTAAGGCATGAAAAGGGATCTTTACTTTACTTTTGCAATTTTCCAAGAAGAGACTGAAAGTTTGATCTCTGGAACAAGATTTTAATGGCTGTGACTGAGATGGCAAACAATTTTAATGAAAATCTTATGAATATTCACAGTGAGGCCACTAAACAGGTTTCTCCCCATTGTTAAAGTTCTGACCATGGGAGCAAAATTGACATATCTGTCACTATCATAAAATCTTGTTCCAGGTATCAAACTACCCATCTTTTCCTGCCACTTAAGAAAATCTGAACGCACCGCAATTGAGCCAGCAGATGATTGTACTAGTCGCTATGCTTCCAGTTACCAGTAACTCTGTCAGTCACTTTCTATATCTCAGAATGCATTGACAACAACAAGAACTGTGTGTATTGGGCAAGTACTAATGCTTGCACAACTAATGCAGCATACATGCAGATAAACTGCCAAAGAAGTTGCAACCTATGCAATACAGGTTAGTGTGTGAACAAGCTAGGTTGCTGGTGTCAAATATTTGTTTTGTATGATCTCACCAGACAGTGCATCGCTCAGAGCCCTGTTACTTAGACATAATGTAAGCAGAGCTAGAGGTTGAACATGCAAGCAATGGATGGATGAAATATCCAAGGCCGTAAACATCAGCATCTGTGTAGCACATACCCAAGCTCACACTTAATGCCTCTTCAAAACCTGATGCTTGAAAGGCAGAAAAGGACTAGAGAAGAAGAAGAAGAACGAAGAAGAAGATCATTTCAGTACCAGGTGATTTACACATTTCAACCTCACTGAACAAAAGGAGAGAGCCGCTGGAAACCAACACAGCAATTAACTATAGATACAGAATCCAGGAAACAAGAATAATTTTACATTTTAAAGTTTTAGGCAACTGTATACATTCTCACTTAAAACAGACCCTAACCTGTACAGTTTGAAATGACCTTACTAGCTGTTGTCCTACATCCTCAGGTTCAAAACCCTCCTGCCCTTAAAAAAAGTGGTAAAAACAGGCAGTAAAGAGAGGATAAACTCTTGAGTAATTATTAAACTTGGTATCTGTGAAGAAAGTAGTTTGCCACTGCATTATTTCTTAGCAGTGACCATAAGGTTTGGTGTCTGTAACCATGGGAATGAGATGTTTGGGACCATCTACAAGAGTTACTAGCAGAAGGAGGTTTACACTACTCAGGGAAAAAAATGTAGACATTCAAGATTTGTGTGTGTGTGTGTGTGGATATGTTATGATAAGTAATTATCTACAAATGGTTTGTGACAACTGGCAAACAATGGAAAGAGAACAAAGCAAAGACAAAGTAAGCTACTTGGATGGACATATAGCTTAGGTGGGACAAGAACACTGATCTGATCTATGATTCTAGTGATCATGTTAGATGACTAGTCATGGTAGATTAAGCATACTGGCATGGATCAGGATGCTAATAAATACTTGACTACAACAAATGTGAATTTTAGAAAGTTTAATGTTTCCTATACTAAGATATGTTGGTGAATCATTACTACTGAATAAAGAGAGCAGAAAAAAGACTGAGGCGAAGATATGGTTTTACAGACGAATCATGTGAATACCCAGGACAGATAAAAAAGAGTAATGAATGATGTTGGAATCAATTTAGACCAATAAGCGAGTATCTTAATAATGTGTATGAACAGCATTGTGACAGTAGCATTCCCATGTAACTGTTGTTGCACAGTCATATAAAGGCTTTAAACAGTAATTAAGTGCAGGTGTATCCAGAAAATGTGCAAATCTCAACTACAGTTCTGGTAAGGTAGTTGTTGAAGATAAAAAACTTATTTTTGCTTACACAGGAGGCCAGGCTTGCACCGACAACAACCCCCACTGTCCAGCCTGGGCCCTGCGAGGAGACTGTCAGACACACTCAGCCTACATGAGCAGCAACTGTCGGGAGAGCTGCGAACTGTGTTGAAATGGCCAAGGGAACTGGGAACATGTGTGGAACTTTCTGAGGAAGGTTCTGAGTTTATGTAAATTTAACGAACAAACGAACGAGAGAGAGAGAGAGAGAGAGAGAGAGAGAGAGAGAGAGAGAGAGAGAGAGAGAGAGAGAGAGAGAGAGAGAGAGAGAGAGAGAGAGAGAGAGAGAGAGAGAGAGAGAAAGAGAGAGGAGAGAGAGAGGAAAGACAGAGAGAGAGAGAGAGGGGGGGGGGAGAGAGAGATTATGTGTTAGATTGCTTATGAAAAAGAGATAAAACTAATACAAATAACATAAACAATATACTGATTTAAAAAAAAGCCTTTTATTTAACATGCATCAATAATTAATGCAATAAAAAGTCACAAATAATTTCTTATACGATTTAATGGATTCTAAAAGTTAGTTGCGCATCCATCCACCCCAGCATATTCTGGCAGTTTGTGATTTCACCAAGTAATGTTATGTTTAATAGTTTGCCACTGCTTTCTTAACAGATGTATAGTAGTTTGCCACTGCTTTCTTAACAGTCGGCTCTCGATACCACTGTCAAACCAATGCAAAGCAGTCTGCTGCCAAATCACCCGGAATTACAAAGTGCATTCACAACACCTAAGCCACGGACACCAAACTGGGGTTTGTTTTTTTTTCAACTACTAAAAGCCTTTTGTGGCGTTCGTAGCTGAGGCGTTGCGAGTCCGACTAGTAATTCCAACGTACTGAGATCGAGACAAACTGCTGGCTGCATGGATTTTTATCATGGTATGGGGCCTGGCAGGTCGACCCAGCCTAAAAAAAGTACCAGGATGTATGTCCTGGGGAAGTAAAGACGGCCAACGTAATGCTGACCACATTACCCACATCAATAGATCTGTAAAAATATGGGTGCTCTTCCTATATGCCTGATGCGCCTAAATGCATGAAAAGCGATTTTTACTACTTTACTTAGAAGCATTTTGCTAAATTTGGATACCAGAGATTAGATCATTTATCTGTAACTTTCTACCAAGAATAATAAAGGCATGGGGTGGCCTTAATAATTATATATCAATACTTACTCAGTAAATGTAACAACTCTATTCAGTAATGGCTTATACTTTTGACAATGCAAGTCGATTATCAGATTCATTATTTAGGCATCTCATGCTTTTATTATTTGTGACATAAAATTGTGGATAAATTTTGTTCCAAAAAAAAAAGGATTGTTTTCTTTTTCATCTAATTCATAAACGTGGGGGTAATGTTCTGCTTTCATTAGCCTTTTCCAGGCATTTGTTGTCAGATAAGCTGGCAATCGCAACGTTTATCTAAGATAATAAATATACTTGTGTGTCCTTTACAGGACGTAGCAGATACAACTATAGTAATTTTTATTTTGTATTTTGTGGGTGTGATTTTATTAGGCAATTTTACTGTTTTAAGTTTGCCAATAAACAGCGTAAGGAAATACAGCTGCTCAAAAGGTCAAGCTCTGAATGATAAAGATGCTTTACATTCATACAGCTTAACTATAAAGTGTTCTCAATATATGACGGAAAGCACTGGCAGAACAGGAGACAGCTCTATTCAACGTCTGCTACTAGTCAAGTAAAAGAAAGGGACCTTTTCCATACCTTCAGGTGTACTGGGCATATAGGGTTGTACCAATATTTTATAGCCAGGATGAACTGAGTTAAGCTGATTCAAGAACCAACATCACAGCACTCGGGGCATTCCCATAAGCGCTCTGTCCCCATCTTCAGCAGCCAGTACAGAGTTCCAATACCAATGGTGCCAGTTGCACTATTATACGTCCATCTTGTCTTTTCTTTGAGCGCCGAGTATCGGCCCGAACCCCTTATAGCCAGGATTTTACCTGGTACCCATTGAAGGTTGGGTATCCTGGGTCACTTTTGAAAAAAAAAAAAGTCAGACTCCATCAGGACTGGAACCCATAACCTTCAGATCTGCAGGCAAGCGTCTAGCTGCTACACCACAGTGGCTCCGGAACATCTACTACTGAACTGGAGACTTCAACCACTGGCAAACTTTGTAATAGTTTTTCAATAATGTCAACAATTTATTTTCCTCAGTACATACCATAAGTCTTTCTAGAGGTGTCCCTTCTTCTTATACTTCTGTGTCCACCCTTAAAACACTGTGTTGTGGTTTACAGCTAGGCTGCAATATCTTCGCCTTTTGAGCCAATACATTCAATTTCATCAAACTGCTAATTAGTTTAGCCTTTTATAACATGCCTGCAGACCACCTTGAGTTGGTTACGATCATGCAGAAAGCAATGGCAAACTACTGCATGTAAATTGTCAACAGCCAAAAAATGCTGGGGTTGGTTCTGCAACATCCACTGAAGGACACGCAACTAACTTTTAAAAAAAAATGGTTGTTGTCGAGTTGGTGGTGATGGTGGTGATGGTAGTGGAAGAGAAGGACCCCCTTCCCCTCCCCTCCCTACTGAACTCACACAGGGATTTTCAGTACATAAATTCTACACTTACTTAAAACATGTGCACTGGAGTTAACTCATCATATCAGACACACAAACCGCACAGTAACCTCTAATTATCTCAAGCAGGAAACGATCCCAGGTACAGACTATGACTGGCCGACTTTCTTCTGTAGCACGATCCTGTCCCCCAGTAACTGGTAGCCAGAGGTGGCGGGCCGCTGAGCATCTGAGAACTGTCTCTCACCGGCAGGGACGCCTAGTCTAGTCAGAAGCCTGTCAGGAGAAAGAAGATCTTGTACATCTTCTTCTTATCATTCATCAGCTGTAAACTCTGGAAGAGGGTTCTGGTTCTTCATCCATTTCTGGGCTTTGGTTTTGAGTCAGAACGGAGTTAGGCATGCACATCTGTTTTACAAATCTTGCTTATTTGTATGCAGACTGCTGGTTCCCCACCTCTCAGGAAGATGCACTCCATCTACAAAGAAAACTCCCCTTATTTTTGGCTTTTTATAACACTGCTTGTTGGGAATGGGGGGGGGGGGGGGGGGGGGGGGAGTGAGTCTATTCCTTATCCCCCAAAATGAGGGCACCAGTACCCACATGAGGAATCTTGCTGTACATAATATGCACAGAGGACAGTACACATTGAAAACAAAACTTTAATAGGTGTTCCATCACCACAATGAAGGTTAGCAATAGTATACCACTGCTATCTTTTCAAATATTAAATGGTACTGCCCATATCTCTTCCATGGTGCAACTCTCATACCACACTCCAAAAATCATAAGAACAGTTTGTTTCTTCTTTGTCTTCTGCATTCACCATTAAAATGGCAGCTGGTACAATATATGTTGTGGTAGACTCCCAGGCTGTAAAATATGTGCCCTTCAGCCCAAAATATCTGATTTCAGCAGAATGCCCCTAATTAGTGGATTTTTGCTACAAGCTTGCTAGGAGCAGTAGATCTAATCTTAGTCTTTTAAAATCCAAAATGCGGCTGCAGAATATGTTTCTTGTCTCTCAGGCAGATGTGCTCTGACTCTGAAGGAAATTCATAATTAATTGACTCTTATGACATGCTTGTTAGAAAGGATGAGTGTTTGTTCTTGTTTTTCCCCACAAGGGGGCCCCAGACTCACACTTGAAAAATGAGACAGTGAGAAAAGCTTACTATGTGTTTTAACATTTTATGATAGCTTGGAAAATGAGAAGTTTGTCACAGATCCTTTAAAAGAAACGTGCAAAATTTTACATAATCAAAATCTGTATTCACCTTTGAAAGCAGTTGGAATACTGTGTTGTGGTTTACAGCTAGGCTGCAATGTCTGTGCTTTTAGGCCCAGCACAGCTAATTTCAGCAAATCCTTCATTAGTTACCTTTTATAGCCTGATTGTTGTTAACCCTACCAGATCGCTGGCCCCATTTTCCAGGAATTTCTGAACCTGACGCTATACCTCTGGCCCTATTTTAGGGCTTTTTTGCCTAGTACAGGAAAACAATTAGTCACAGGCTAAACAGAACTCATCATCAGGTGCCTTGCCGACTGGCGTGGGCGATCATGCCTCTTTGAGGCATGATTTTCTTGAGATAGTACAGCTGTGGTTTCCCCTTGCCTTCCGCCGGTTTGTATATGGTTTGACTCCAATAGCCTTTGTCTAAAGAGACTTACCCTGCAAGGCAGCAGGGGGGGGAGAGATTATGGCACCTCTTACCTGCCGATGGCCATGTCGTAGAGTTTTGAGGTATTTTATAGAGTTAGCTGTCCCACCAACTAACTCGCCTCCTCTCAATGACCATCACCTGTTTCGGTCCACGGCCACTTATTCAATATATTCGTGGCTAAATCTATATATCTAGAGGCCTTTCCACCATCCGCCACCTGGTGGACGCGCCTAGTAGTAGGACAGGCTCCTACCCCAGAAAAATAACTAGCCAATCGTAATCAGACCTCGTGGATAGTCTTCCTAGATGTCCGCTCTCGTGTGTTTGGATAAAATTTTTGTTATTTTACGTGAAAAATTCTGAAAATATTCACAATAAAACGAGCGGCTGATGAACCAAGCACTTCGACAGGAACGTGAAGTAGGTCTAGGCTGTCACAGTCCAACAGGTGATCGATACTTTGCTTTATTCAGACTCTGAGGAGTCATAATTTCATGAAGAATACGTTCACAGTTGAAGTGACACCTTCAGCTCGAATAATGAGGAGAATCTTGAACATTATAAATCTAGAAATAGATCGATAGTAGGAGAAGGGGGTGTGTCCCTCAAACAGCAACATCTAGTGCTCACTTTGTGAAACAATCCTGATCCTCCTGAGTGGATTGGCACACAAAGGTGGAATATTGGCGCTAGATAAAAGATAAGCCTATTTTCTACAATGTCTCCAAGTTTCATCTTATTCTAGCCACTTGTTTGCGTGTAATGAATATTTTTGTATATCATGTTGGTTTTTTCGCGTTAATGCCCAGGAGCTCAGTTATAGGGGACAGTTAGGTTCAGGGCCTCAGGTCTGGTAGGGTTAAGAAGCAGTGGGTTAATACTTATTTACTTACTTGGTCAAATCTATTCTATCTTGGACTGTAGAGGTTTGACAGAGAGATCATCAGATTTTTTTATCTGCAGTTTTCTTGTTGGTCTTTGTTCTGTTGCAGTCCTCTGTCAGTCACAGACTGTCAGATGCTGCTGTCTTCCCAGCGAACCCTGGATCGTCCTGCTGGTCTGGTTCCCTGGTTCTTGTGAGGCGACTAATTCTCTCCACATGTTTAAACCACCATAACTCTGACTGATCCACTAGATTTTGTACGGCCTTGGTTTCAAGATCATGAGGTGTCTGTCTGGTTGTGAACTTTGACCCTTCTTGTCACTAAGACCACCCTTCTTGTCACTAGGACCACCCTTCTTGTCAGTAGGACCACCCTTCTTGTCACTAGGACCCCCCCCTTCTTGTCACTAGGACCCCCCTTCTTGTCAGTAGGACCCCCTTCTTGTCAGTAGGACCCCCTTCTTGTCAGTAGGACCCCCCGTCTTGTCAGTAGGACCCCCCTTCTTGTCAGTAGGACCCCCCTTCTTGTCAGTAGGACCACCCTTCTTGTCAGTAGGACCACCCTTCTTGTCAGTAGGACCACCCTTCTTGTCAGTAGGACCACCCTTCTTGTCACTAGGACCACCCTTCTTGTCAGTAGGACCACCCTTCTTGTCACTAGGACCACCCTTCTTGTCACTAGGACCACCCTTGTTGTCACTATGATCACCCTTCTTAGATAGGCACCTAATTTTTTAGGCCTGAGGCTGGCTTCTGTGAGGGTCTATTAATTTTAGCCCAAAGTGGAGTCACAGAACAGACATGGGAAGTACAACCATCATCATCATCATGTAGCCTGTCAAATGGCGTAGGCGCTCATGCGTCTCCACAGATCACGATCCCTGGTTGCCTGGAACAGCTCTCTTGATGATATCCCCCCATGCCATCGTTTCAGCCTATCTACCATCATCTCTTTTGGTCTGCCTCTACACCTTTTTCCACTGATCTTTCCAGCTGTCACGATGTTCTCCAATGTCTCTCTTCTCATTATGTGGCCAAATAACAGTGTTTGTCTCTTTCTTATTGTTGTATATAAAGATCAACTTTCATTAGCTTCTTATTAGCAGAGAAGGGCACCCGCTTGTCCTGACAGTTGGAATTTACTGTCTAAGGTGCAGGTTAAAATACCCCGTGTGGATGTGGAAGGCGACGGGAAACCACCACATTATATTCCCAAGAAAACTCATGAGAAAGTACAACTAGCATCATAATAAATATGATTTCAAGCAATGACTAAAAAATATTGTAAAATAATTTAGACTAACCTGTCTGACAAATCTGGTACAACTGGCTGAAGCAATATCCCACAAACCCTCAGGGTTTCCATAGCAACATGTAACACAGTAAGTAGCTGATCAGAATCAGAGGGGTTACTGAGCTTGGCAAGTTCCCACGGCTTGTGTAGTTGAACAAAACTGTTGGCCCAATGCAGCCGTGACATCACCAGATCCAGGGCCTTTGTGAAGTAGTAATCTTGGTACAAGTGGTCTATACTGTCTAGAGATACATTCAAACATTGTAGGTTCATTTTTTTCACATCACAGAAACATAAACAACCAGGTCATACGTAGTAAAACCATTTGCACATTCTCCTCCTTCTTCTGCCCCTTATCATCATGTCCAGAGCTCTTGTGAAGTAGCTATCCTGGTACAAGTGGTCTGTACTGTCTAGAGATATATTCAACCATTCTATGATTATATTTCCCATCACAGAAAAATACACAACCATGATATATGTCTTCTTCTTCTTTTTCTTTGTTCACTGGCTGTAAGCTCCAGCAGAAAGTCTGGTTTTTCATATATTTGGACTTTGGCTTTGTGCCAGGGCCTGAGTTTTGCGTGTACATCTGTTTTACTGGCTTATTTCTGTGCAGGTCGTTGTTGCATGCTGCTCAGGCAGATGTACACTGACTTCAAAGGAAGCCCCCAATGAGTGGACTCCTACAACATGCTTGTTGGGGAGGCAGTGGGTCTATTCTTCTTGTCCCCACACTGGGGCCTCAGAACCCACACAAGGAATGTTATATGTAAAACTATTTGCACATTTTTCTTTCTTTTTTTTTTTCCCTGCCTGTTATCACTAAGTCCTGGGCTTTTGTGAAGTAGTAATCTTGGTCTACACTGTCCAGAGATATAGTCAAACATTGTGTGTTCATTTTTCACATCACAAAAAAACAACCAACCATGTGTAAAACCATTTGCACATCTTCTTCCTTCTTCTTCTGCCCTTTCAAGTTGGAAATTTTTTTTTTTTTTACCTTTGTCTGAAAAAGTGAACGACAAATAATCAATTATGTTTTGAACTCGACGGTCACAGTGACATAGTGGCCATCTCACGCCTGCCTGTCTCCTCGGTGGTTACAGGCTTCAACCCCTGGACTTTTATCAGAAATGACAAAGATTACAAATATTCTTCTGCTTCTTCTTCTCTCTTTTTGCCACGGCAACACTGAGGCCATAAGGCCCTCGAAACACAAACATTTATAATTTTTCAGTAACTTTGTACAATTTATTTTTTAACATAAAGGGAAGTAATCACTAAATACAAAACAGAGCAAAGCATTAACTGCTTTCCTTTCTTCTGACAATCAACACAGCGTTTTGCTGAAATAGCCACATGGAACAAAGTGGCATCATTATGATGTCACAGGAATCAACAAAATAAATTTTTTCAACACCTTCCAAATAATGTCTGAAATGTATTTTTAGTAAATATAATTAAACCCACCATGCTTAACTACTCTACAGTTGCAACCAATACCAAAGATGTTATACAGGCTTTTGGTTACCCAGTCATTTCCTTGTGAGATGCAATTTTTCTTTATTTGAAGCCTCACCCTGGTTCTTGCCATGGGCTGTAATATAGCCCAGCCATAAATATGGTCTAATGGCTGAACACGGTTTCTGGGACCTCTCGACTGTGTCCTCGTCCACATGGTGGCACTTCATGTTTAAAGCCCCCATTGCAGCTGTTGTCAGAAGCCATAAACATACTGGTTAAGCAGGGTTTCTCAGACTTGCGCGAGGGGGATTCTCATCCAAATGGTGGCACTTTGCGTCACAGGTTGTTTGTGCTGTCCTTGTGGGGTTGAACACATCAGTCAGATTATCATAGTGGCCACTGCCTAAAGACATATCATCAAAAATCTGTAAATGCCTAAAAAAGGACTGACAATTAGTCTGTCTACTCTCACTGACACTGACCTGGTAGGATGTATAAGCTCTTGTGTGCATCTCTATCTTCTGCAGACAGGAACTCAAACAAGTTGTCCTCAACCAGGGGAGGCAACTGCTGCTCTTTGTTCACCACAGGTGCTGTACAACGACCCAACAGATTACCCAATGTGTTTGCTAGGTCCGAGTTTATTCTCTCTATGACTCGTTTTTCACTGTACACTGAAAAGCATAAATGCATGATAACCTACACGCAGACAGAAAAAAAAAAATATATTCCACACAGTCACTGCTACAGCACTATGTGTCTAGTGTTTTAACAATCACTATACTAGTTGTTATGATCTTGACTCCCAGATTGACCCAGCCTTGAACGAAAAAACGAACAAACTTTATTTTCAAAGGGTTACAAACTTTACAAACTGGGTGCGCAAGCCGATCTTACATGCGGCCCTCCAAATTCCCACCTTTCACACAGTTGTATTTTTATCAATAAAGCAGGTTCAGAAGCATATCATGAATATCAAGAAACGAGACAAAGTTGAGTGGATACCAGGTTCAAGCACTGCTGACCACATCATCCACCAAGTGCCGATTGGTCTATAAAATATAAGGTCCAGCCCTATATGCCCAGTAGCCCTAATGGCCCTGAAAAGGGTCCTTTAATTTTAAAAAAAAATTTTAAACTCATATTAGTTGTTACTTGTTATCTGTATCGACATCCAAGCACATTGATCTGATCCATTCGTGCTTTGTCCTCTTCCTCTGATGTAGCAGTGTTTCATGCTGATTGTAACCAGCAGGAAATTGACTGGTATATCTTCTTGCTTTACCCTGCAACCGGTTTCTGCATGCTTGTCCTTGTTCAATACCTATGTCTAACAGGTAGCTCATCATTGCCGAATCCTTTGTCTCAAATGTCTCTTTTTGTACCTCTGCCTCGCCCATATTTCTTCCTCCACCAACCAGTCTGGCTCTTTCATTTTCTTTCACTATAATATGTATCTATCCACTAAGAAGTTATTACTATATAAAGTAGTTTATTTATTGACTAAATACAAATTCAACAGTTAATTATCTACTGGAAAGGTGGTACAGGAACTGTCTATTTACTCGGTAGAAATCATTGCAGCAGTTATCCACCTTGTAGCCAGGAACTGTCTACTTGTTCTGTAGAAATCATTGCAGCAGTTATCCACCTTGTAGCCAGGAACTGTCTACTTGCTCGGTAGAAATCATTGCAGCAGTTATCCACCTTGTAGCCAGTAAATATTTAAAAGTGTACAGTCAAGAGGATCGACTTTATCGCATGGGTTTCATTCCATCTGCCTCAGTCTCACGCCACAGAACGGTTAGCAGTCAGGTTAGAGCACCACACAAAGCACAAACTCTGTGGCTCCAGTGAGGATCCCTAGGTATCTCTGTAAAAATTGCTCATTAAAAGAACAACAGTCTGTGAAACAAAACCCCCAACCATCAGAGTGCAAGGAAAACGTCTTAACCAATTAGCCGTGGTGACAATTTAAAAGCTAGAAATAACAATAGGAGTAATCACAAGAGGATTTATCTATCTATACCAGTGGGTTCACAACCTTTTCGAGGTGGCACCCCCTCTTTAATATATGGCAAGACCCTTATGCTCTAACCACTCCCGATCCCCAACCTAAAAAAAAAAAAAAATGAACAGAAAACCGAAAGCACTGTTAACAACAACTGTGTTATCCTGCTAATTAGATTTTTAACAGTAGCTGTACACACTGCTCACGGAAACAAAAAACACACCTGGCTTCTTGTTTTTTAAATCATTAAAAAAAAAAAACATTTTTGGTTAATTATAATTAAACTGAAAATATGTTACAGTAATAGATTATTAGAAGTACAAATGCAGTTTCAAAATTGCTTAATGCCCCCCCCCCCTTTTTAAAAGTCAAACTGACATCAAATTCTCCCATAAGCCTTAGTGATGGAGGTCACTGTGTTACAGCATGTGTCACCCTACACAAAAATTCTGCAGGAATGTATTCCATTTGATGCTTCTCCTATGCATGTTTACTGATTTCTACCTTTAATTATCTTTATATATTTTGAAAAGAAAAAAAAAAACAGATGTAAATAAATCAACTGATTTTTATAATTTTTAGTGACTGTTGCATAATGGATGGTCTTTAAGGAATCTTTTTTTGGTATTCTCACATGGTCATGACCCATTTTTATAGTATTCCCATGGCAACAGAGTTAAAAAGATGGCATAAAAGCAATTTTCTCGAACAATGATTTTTCATTTAGATGACTTTGACATAATGCCAGTGATGTATTATTATAGTTTACAGCATTACCATTCTGTGCTTCCCTTACTAAAAGGATATGGCTCCGTTGCCGAGCCTGAGCTGAGTGCATGGCATGACATTGTCAGGTGCAGATTTCATTTGGAATGCTTTTTGACTGTGCCCAATGTGGCATGTGTTGTGAACTGTAGGTTAAGGAAATGACCAGAGACCAGTTGCCACTGAACTGGTGGTGCCTTTTGTGATTATTCGCATGTTGTAACTATTCTTCCATCGATGATGAACTGCATTTCTTGTGTCAAACTGGTTGTGTTGGCATTTCTGTTGGCTGCCCTAAACATTTAATGCATGGCGCAGTTGAAGTCGTCCCAATGTGGGATGCAATTTTTTGTTTTTCGAAGCCCCACTCTGGCTTTTGTCGGGGAAAGGGGGGAGGGGGCTGAATATAGCCAGGCCATAAATATGGCCTAAACGGCTGAAAGGGGTTTCTGGGACCTCGCCACAGGTGATCCTCATTCGCATATTGGCACTTTGTGTCACCAGCTGTTTATCGCTTGTGTGATGTCTTGGTGGGGTACAACTACATAACTACCTAATGCATGGTGTATGCTACTGGAATAGCTGAGACTGCAGTCTGTGTCAATGTTTCCACAAGGGACAGTGATGACAGTCTATGTGGTTTCCATTGGCACAGAAGCAAAGCGGCTATGGGGTAATCCATTTGCTATGAGGTTGGAAGTGCAAGTACCTGAAAATCCATGGGTGATGTAGTCATGCGAGTGAGAAATATGTTAAGAAAAAAAAAAGTATCTATACTTACAACCATCAGAGTCCAAACTACCCTCACTGAGCATGAAATAACGAAGACCATCAACTCCAAAAGCTGATATCTTTTCCATAGGGTCTACCACATTTCCAAGGCTCTTGGACATCTGATATAGAAAATGTGTTCTAAGTGAACATTAAACATTTTCAGTATAATAAATACTTAAACAGAAAATTACTTTCATCTGAGAAATTTGTAACAGCAAAATTTGTTTTCTTCTAAATCATGGAATAGAAACAATGGTACCACTCACATTGTCTGGTCCAACGTCTTGACCTTTCACACACGTTACTCTAAGTGCCAGGGGTGTCAGGCTGTCTTCTGCTATGTATATGTTGGCAAACGTATAGGTAAACGTGTTTTATTTGCTGTTCTGAACAACTGGCGCTCTGGGACTTCAACAAAATGAATTTACTGAAGTTGTCAGCATTGATGGCTGACTAGGAGAGGACCGCTGCTTTTCTGCAGCAACATGGTATCTTACCGTCAAGTAGATGCTGTTCGAAGAACCATATGATGGTGTGAGGATCGTTGGAGATGACGGTGCGCAAAAATTTTTTACATTTCAGAAGCCATGGCACGCAGTGAAGTTTCTCATGGAACGTAGGCTGAGCTGAGTTGGGGAGGGGGGTGGAATAATGGACGGTCCGTCCCCAGGACCAAAAATGTGAGTAGTATCAAAACAATAATAAAAAGATAACAATATCCTGCTGCCTAGATACTAAGTCATTACAACAATAAACAAACTATTAATTACCCAACAGTTATTTCCGTATAGTTCTCCTCTGTGGTTGAAAACTTTTTAATTGGATTTAACTCACCAGAATATGTAGCCCGGGATCATATCTAGTGTTTCTTTGCTTTGCTTTATAGTTTTTATTTTATATGTGTTAAAAATGACAAGTCAACACAGGAGAACCTTCTACAATTTACATGAAATTGGCAGTTTAGGGTTTTCTACTTATTAGTATTACAGAAGTGGACTGGTTGTCAACATAAATGAAATAGGTCAATCTTAGTCTAATACCATCCATGCCTAAGTAAATGCCTAAGTAATTCTCCATGTTTCTGAACCATACGGCAGTACCGATTTCGCAAGCTAAAATATACTTGCAGCTACATATCACAACTATATTTATCCCCGTGCGGGTTCGGGACCCCATTGTGGGGAAAACAAGTATAGACCCCCTGCTGCCCCAACAAGTATGTCATAGAAGTCGACTAACTGGGGAAATCCTTCAAAGTCAAAGTACCTTTGCCTGAGTGGCAAGGAACAACCAAATGCACACAAAAAAGCCAGTAAAATGGATGTACAAACAAAACTCAGACCCTGGCACAAAACCAAAGTTCAAACAGATGAGCAACCAGGACTTTCTGCCAGAGCTTACAACTGGTGAACAAAGAAGAAGAAGATAGCTATATTTAAGGATTTACAATATGTTCCATTTTACTATTAAGGTTACAGATTTTTAAAAAAAAAAAAGGGGAGGCGTTGAGGGGGAGGGGAGATATGAATAATAACCTTGACATTGTCCACCAGCCAATGGGAATGAACAATAAGTTTTGAGGGCGGCTCCAGACCTGCTGCAATGAGAAATGCTGGCCAATAGACTGCATGAAACCTACAAACAAAAATAAGTACATAATGAAGTAAGTGTTTTCTGTAACAAACAACAGACATTACAGAGAATCATAACATCATGTAATGAATAAATATAAACAATACACAAATCTAAAGTGGCAGTGAAAACATTCAAACTCTAGTAAACAGCAAAGGATCCTATCATGCAAATGGCATATCGGGTATAAGATCAATTAATCTGTCCCTTCTGGGCTGCCACCTAAATGTTTACTAAGCCACCCTGAGATTCTAACATATCTCAATCTGGACGGCAGATCCAAGATACCTGATTCAACCTCTAAAGAAGTTATATTTAGGGCACCAGTAACAGCAAGACCAGCCAGGTGTAACCTAATGTCATAGCAGGCCAGAATGCAAATGACGTTTGACCCATATTTTTACAGATCAAACACCAAAAATGTGGTCAGCAAATGACACTCAACCCCTATTTTACAGACCAAACACAAACCAATGTATTCAGAAAATGACACTCGACCCCTATTTTACAGACCAAACACCAACCAGTGTGGACAACAGATGACACTTGTCCCATATTTTGCAGACGAAACACCAACCAATGTGGTCAGCAAATGACACTTGACCCATATTTTACAGACGAAACACCAAAGATGGGGACAGCAAATGACACTCGATCCGTATTTTACAGACAAAACACCAACCAATGTGGTCAGCAAATTACACTCGATCCCTATTTTACGGACAAAACACCAACCAATGTGGTCAGCAAATGACACTTGACCCATATTTTAAAGATGAAACACCAACCAATGTGGTCAGCAAATGACACTTGACCCACATTTTAAAGACGAAACACCAACCAATGTGATCAGCAAATGACACTTGACCCATATTTTACAGACCAAACACCAACCAATGTGGTCAGCAAATGACACTTGACCCATATTTTAAATATGAAATACCAACCAATGTGATCAGCAAATGACACTCGACCCCTATTTTACAGACCAAACACCAATTTAAAAAAAAAAAATATAAAGTATAGTCAATTCCCAAGACTAAAGAAAGTGAATGCTTTATCTTCCAATAGTAAAAAATAAAATATTTTTAAAGAGAAGAAACAAGGGACTAAAAAGAATTCTTCTTTATTAAACAAAACATAAACTACAAGGAAACCACAGTAGTTTGCTAAAAGAGTTCTATGAACACTGATCTAGCACCGACCATTGAGGTTGCATCAGCTTAGACAATAACTATTATTAGCGGTTTCAACTTCAGCACTGCTAACAAGTCACCCCATCATTCCTCCATTGCTATGCCAGTGAAAACCACACAAACTGCCCTCTAAAAGGCATGCGCCTTAACATATTGCATATCTCTAAACCTAGAATAGACCTATATAAAACAAGCTTAGCGTACTCTGCAGCTCAGCTGTGGAATAATCTTCCACCGGAAATAAAAAATATCAATAACCCCTATAGATACAATCGGAAACTATTTGAATATTATCTCACTATAGACTATATGCCCCCCTAAAAGATATAGTAGTATGTTAAGGCTTTGGGGTATTTCTTATTAACGTTGGGGGGGGGGGGGGGGGGGGGGGTTTAACGGGGAAGGGGGTGGGGGTTAAAAACTGAAGCTTATTATTGTTTAAAACTGAAGATGTCAGTCGAATGCATTCCAATGTTTGTAACTAATATTTAATTGGTTATGATGATGTTTATATTATGCAACCTGTAAGACTTACATCATTTTTGGAATAGGCTTATTATTATACTCTTTAAAACGTTCAAGTAATGTCAGTATAAATTAGAGCACATTCCAGCATTTGTAATTAAGACTTAGATATTGAAATTTTTTTCTTCTTCTCTTTTTTGTTCTTTTGTTTCTTTTCTATATTTCTCAAATTTTTAATTGTGCATTCCTCTTTTTATTATTATTATTATTAACTATGAAATGAGGTACAAATCCGGTAATCCGGTAATCCTAGTTTCAGCTTCATAGCAAACGGGTCACCCCACACATGCTCCGCTCCTGTGCCAACGAAAAACAAACGCAGCTCACAGTGTCACGCCATGCACTCAACTCGGAAGCTGGGCGACGAAACTACATCCTTCTAGTCTACAAATGGAGAAAAAAATGCAACGGCCACTGTCTGGCCCAAAAAAAAAAAAAAAATATTTGTCACGGCTTTAAAAAAAAAAAAAAAAAAAAAAAAAAAAAGGTGGCCGTACCTAGCGTCCATTTTGACCGGAAGAATTATATGAGGGTTAATAAACGGTCACCCCAGCAGTACCCTCATTATTAGCTGGGGAAGGGACTTAGGACATTACATCCACCAGCAGGCGTCGCCCCTACAACGACCTGCCTGCCATCGTTAACGAAAGTTCACCCAACAGCCATGCAGTTCTTTGGCACGAAGGAGACACCTTGAACTTGGGTTTCGTACTGCCGACTCCCTACTAAGATGTTATTTTATGTTCTGTTATCACAATTAATCCTGATGCTTTCTATCCATTCAGAGCGCATACTGCCTATTGCTATCTTCTGAAGCATATTCATTGAGTCTGAGACAATTACTACCTGTGTGGCGGTTTGCTCGGATACCCATGCTAAAGCTCTAGAAGCAGCGGCTATTTCCATTGTCATGCTTGACGTGGTTGTCTGGTAAGCGCCGCTGTCCTCATGTATTGTTTTCCCCTTTCTTTGCGCTGTGTATGCCCATGCTGACCTTGATCCGCGCTTCACAGATCCATCTGTGTAGATGATGGTATCTTCTGGGTCTGAATGCTGATCTATCAGTTCCCTTACTTCTGTGTCTACCGCCGCAGGAATTTGATCCCTGCAGTACCTACAAATGAAACATTGTATGAAAGGAGCGGAGTGGAAGGGCAGAATGTTAGACAGGACTGCGTGCCCAATTCTTAACCCTTTGAAAATAAAGTTTGTTCGTTCATTCGTCTTAGGAGGGAAACTAATTAGGGGTGTTTCCTGCATCATGCCTGAGAGGCAAGGCACCAACAGTCTGCAAACAAATAAGTCAGATCTGTAAAACAGATGTGCATGCAAACCTCGAATTCTTAACCAAGAACAAAGTGCAGGAGGGGATGAACAACCAGATCTTTTTGCCGGAGTTTACCGCCGGTCAATGCTAAAAAGAAGAACCATAAACATGCAGAGATCTAGGTGGTGTCATAAATACGGCTATGTGTTCCAGTGTGCATGTATTAGAAGGCAGTGAGTGACCTCCCAAAGTATTGCTGATTATACTGTGATGTAAACAGTGCAGTTTTTGGCAATCAAGCAAATGAGTATAGGTGTGTATTGTTAGTTTCAAGAACTGCCTTCCAGTTGTCTCATTTCTGTAACCATAATATGGCATGTGATTAAACATGTGCAATTAATCATGCAGTTATATATTTTTTTTAAACTTGCCCTGTATACTAGTTTTTTTTTTCATTCACCCTTAGAAGGGTGGCTGGCAGGTTGTAATGTCATTTACAGCTTGGCTGTGATATCTGTAACTTTCTGCCCAACAGCAAACAGTGATTTCAGCAAACCTTTACTTGGTCACCTTAAATCATGCTTATTATGGGAGGGGGGGGGGGGGTGTTGTCGTCTACCTCTCCCCAACTAGAACTTACTTAGAATTCAAATGGAGGCCAAAAAAAATCAGTTCCATAAAGGAAAATCTGAAGTAAATTATGTAAAGGACCCTTTTCTATTTCTCGTGGCATACTGGGTCTAAACGAGATGGGTGCTCTCACCTGAGGATGTCCTTGCCTATTATCTGACAATCAGGAGGCCATAGCTTGGTGGCTGGGTACCCAGCAACAGTCAGGTAGTTAACTAGAGCATCTAGCCACACATATATCTGCAGACAAACAGTAGTTATACAGTTAAATAGAATTACATGATAATATCCCGGGGTATGATGGTTTCATATATATATATATATATATATATATATATAAAATATGCTTAAACTCTGTTGTAATACAACTCTTTTATTCCCAAACTCACCCTTTCTTCATCACTCCAAAAATAACATGATCTTCTCACTGTCTTTTATTATGGACAGATGTTACTTTAACCTGGTATTATAAGATCAAATATTCCTGTCCCATAGTCTCTGTTCAACTTTATCAGACCAAAGTTTTTATTGTCAGATTGAAGGAGTTTAAATAACAACTGCTTAGGATTAAAAGTTTTTCTTCTTCTCAAAGTCCATGCCATGTGGCATTGGTAATCATGTCTATCCACACTCTTGTCTCGTGTACTTTCAATTAACTCTGACACAGATAATCCTCCATGCCATGATGTCAAACAACCTTTTCCTCGGTCTCCCTCTGCCTCTCCTCCCGTACAACTTTCCTACTGTCACGATGAACTCCAGTTTTCTCCTTCTCATCACATGATCAAAGAATGTAGATTGTCTCTTTCTAATGTGGGCAATCAGTTCTCTTTGTGAGTCAGTTTCTTTCAAGACATCCTCATTACTCTTTTCTTACCTGTCAAGGGTATTCTCATCATTCGTCTATAGAACACATCTCCGCAACTGCCAAATAATTTTTTAATAATCTACCAACTGTCCATGATTCAAATATTGCTATTTTATGTTACAGCTTTGCAAACAGTTATTTACTGTGATTTCTCCTTCTTCCTCTTGTTCACAGGCTGTAAACTCAGGTGGAAAGTCCCGGCAGTTGGTCCACTTTTGGACTTTGTTCTTGTTACAGGACTTGAATATCAAATTCACATCCATTTTGAAATCTGGCTTATTTATCAGCAGTTTGCTAGTTCCTTGCTTCTCTGACTTGCACTTTGACTCTGAATGTTGAATGTAGAATTAGGAATCGACATCACAGCACTTAGGACACCCCCTTAAATGCTTCATCCCCCATCTTCAGCAGCAAGCAAAGAGTTTCAATTCCAATGGCACCAGTAACTGTCTGATTGTATATCTCTCTTGCCTTTCCCTTAAGTGTTGAGCATCCCCTGGTAACTCCTCGCAGTGGGATTCTTCTCAGACTAAACTGATCTATTCATGACTCTGCACTGTTCACTCACTCCCAAAGGGCTCTCACAACATCTAGCTTGTCATAAATCAATTCCCACCAAGTGTTGCAGAACCGGCTAGTCTATCTGTCTGCGCTTTTCCTAACACACTAACATAACCTGGAAAAAAATCCAAAGGACCCTAACTACCCAGGACCTCTGAAGCAATGTTTACTTTACTCTGACACTGAAGGAAGCAACCCTGTCTAAGCTGGCCGGGCTCCCAGTTAGGAGCCTGTTTCTAAGGTGAGCTTGCAAAGGTGTAGATAAGTCATGACCAGCATGAACTCTGACCATGGTGCCCCACCATATGTGGTTCAGCACCTATTGCATCTCTATACTGTGATTTAACATCATATTATCAGTATAAAATTTTGTAACATCTGCTATAACAAATACCTTATCCCTTATTGTAGCTAAAACAATATCCCCATCTAGTATGGTTTGAAATCAGAACATCTTGCGTTGGTTTCTACAGGGGGACCGACAGATGACCATTCAGAAGGCAATGGCAAACTACTGAATGTAAAAAATGTGCCTAGATAAACCACAACAGTCAAAACATGCTGGGGTTGGTTCTGCAACATCCTGTAAAGGGTTCGCAACTAAATAATAGTTTAAAACAACATTATCTTTTTAAGTGAAATTATCTAATGTTATCAGCTGTGTACATTTAATTTCTACTCTACTGTGATTTACCACATTTACACAACTTCAGTCACAGATATTTTTAAACCAGATTCTGTCCTTAACTGTAAAGTAGTTTAACAACACATTATCCTTATTTGGTTTACCATAAAACTACGCTAATCTGTAGTTTTACATAACTATCCTCATAAAACAAATTATCTTTTGAAGTGATATTTTCTTATGTTATAAGCTGTTGAATATACTTTTTACTGTGATTTACCACATTTACACAACTTCAGTCAAAGACATTTTCAAATCAAATTCTATTATTAACTGTACACAGTTTGACACCACATTATCCTTGCTTTGAGTTGTAAGCTTTAACACACACAAAACTATGATGATCTGTAGTTTTCCATAACTACCTTCAATACAAGTGTAACATAACTTCATAACCATTTGCAGGTCAACACGATTTTATTCAATTTAACCTTCTGATCTGTCTACTTACAGTCTGAGTTTCATCCCCAGGGACCGCTATTCCCCAGGGTAGTCTATGCCTGTCTCTTGTCACCGACAGATCAGTGAGATTCTGAATCATGTGTCTCACTGGCTGCTCAAATTGGATGGGGTGAATAGCTGTAAAAAGAATCACACTCTTATTTATAATAAACCACCTTGCTGACCATTTGGTGGAGTTTCAGATTAAATTTACAAAATTATTAAGGCCTGGAGAGAATGAGGCATCTGGGTGTAACCAGAGAGTCTGGCCGGCTTACTACACTCGGAGGAAATGCAAGACGGACATATAATCAGATTGTGACCGGTACCATCAGTATTGGAACTCTGCGCTGGCTGCTGAAGATGAGGACGGAGCATGCATGGGAATGCCCCGAGTGCTGTGATGTCAATTCTTGACTCAACTCAATATTTACAACAGAACTCAGCAATGACCAGATTAAACAATTAAAATTGAAAAATGTAGCCAAAGAATCCTGGCATCAAATTCACCAAACTGGAGCAGATGCAGTCAATAAATAACAGCCAACAACAGTTGTAATGGCAGAAGGTCCAGACAACTAAGATTCAAAAAGACAGTACAGAAGCCAGGTAGGTACTAGTACTACATACCAAAGGTACCACAATGTTCACAGTGTCAGGAAGCCTGGCACACTAGGACTTACTGTCAAAGCAAATCATAAACTTGCCAGTACTGTGTGAAAGTAAAATCCTTCATTCAGTACCCATGGATAAGCCGATTTAAAAAAAAAAAAAAAAAAACTGAACATAAACAGGAATGTTTGAGCGCACATGGAGCCAGATTCTTGGGTTGGCTATACCTTCAACAGTGTAGAGACCACAATAAAACAGCTTTCAAAGCACATAGGCACATGTATAGTAGCAAGAACCAGGAATTCTTTCAAACAAACTTTTGATGTAGCTGAAGGTGCAAAGACAAAAAAATTCTTTGAACAGACAAATTTATTTTTAAAAGTATTTTTTTTTTTAATACAACCCATAGGGTACAGAAGATGGAGGGAGACCTAAAAACCACATAGAGAAGATTTAACATGGTGGTTAGGCAGGCTTACTGTTTTTAGTTGTGGTAAGTTCTTGTTTCTGACAATTGCTAGCCATTGAATTTTCTCTAGATGTAGATATAAAAAATATAGTTCCATTGCCCAGATACTGAGCTGAGTGTATGGCGTGACACTGCCAGATGTGGATTTAATTTGGAATGCTTTTCGACCGTCCCAAACGTGGTTTGTGTTGTGAACTGCAGATTCAGAAAATAGTGAGTAGCCTGCTGTAAAAGAACTAGTGGTGTCTGATGCGATTAATTGCGTGTGCACTACTGATTTGTTTTACTGCTGCTTCCATCGATGATGAACTGAATACTGAATCAACTGTTAGCATATTCACTGAAATATTTGTAACACAAGAAATACAAGCTGATAAAACATTTTTGTTACAGCATGAATTTTAGAAGGGAGTCGCTGTGGTGTAGTGACTAGATGCTCGTGTGCGGATTGGAAGGTCGTGGGTTCGCTCCCTGGCAGAGCCGGACTTTTTAAAAAAATGACCTTGACTCCGAGGTCGACTCATCCTTGAGTAGGTACCGGGTGCAGTCCCGGTAAGTAGAGGCGACCGGCGTGATGCTGACCACATCACCCATCTTGTGCCAATTGGTCTATAAAACATAGGTCTAGCCCTATATGCCTAAAGACGTGGAAAAGGGACCTTTACTATACTATGAAAATTAGAAACATATTTTAACATCCAATAAAGAAAAATTACAAGAAGAATGAAGCCACTATAAAAGCTGCACAAATTTACCAATGGAAATCAACAAGAAGAACTAAGCCAGCAAAATGGCTATAAACATAATGTTTAAAATATAGGAGTTTGTAGTCTATTATCGCTCTTTTACCATTTGTAGGGTGGTTTGGGCAAGAGGGTAATTTTAATAAGGCTGCATGATTCATGCGGTCGCCATGAACTGTGCAGGTTCAGAATTTTGTTGTTTATTGCCCCCATCAGAAAACATCCCATAAGCGCATAGAGGATTCAAAACTGGGTCTTCCAGTGTTCTAAAAGCATGGCCAGATAAACAGTTCTGCACTAGTGTTTCTAAAAGCATGGTTCTGCCAGTGAGGATTCAAAAAGTCTGCACTAGCTTAAAAGTGAAGCTTAAAAGTGAAGATTCAAAACAGAAAACTAATGGCAATAACTGAGAAAATATAAAAAAATTCCAAAGATTTTTAAAATTTTTTTCAAAGAGAAACTTACGGGAAGAATTAAGCCAGTATAAAAGTTGCTCCTGAAAATCTGACAGTCGAAACATGTAGTTCTTCTCTTCAGTCCAAGAGACAGGATGCCCGCTGTCTTTAGATACCTGCAAAAATAAATAGATGGCAATTCAGTGTATGACATGGTGTATTTCACACTAACTGTCATGAATGCAGACTAATCACGCTGGTATGCTAAAATTAAAATCTTCTTCAGCGCTCACCCTTAAAAGGGTGGTTGGCATGTTATTCTGATTTACAGCCAGGTGGTGGCATCTGTAACATTTTTGCTCAACATATCTGATTTCAGCTTCTTTTTTTCTTTTCCTCTCTACCCCTGGAATGACTCACAGTGTCAGGGCAGGAAGAGATGTCTGAAATGGGCCTTTCTGTTCACTTCATATAAATTACTTTTTATTGTCTCTGATATTTCTGCTGTCCATCTTCTGCGTGGTTGACCTCTGATCTGATTTCAGCGAACCCTTAATTAGTGGTCTTTTATGGCATGCTTGTTAGGGAGGTGAAACGGCTAGATGCTTGCTGGGCAAAAATTGTATAGGTTTAAATCAGCATCAAGCCGGATTTTCTTCTCCAAAGTTGACCTTGGCTCCTTAAGGTCAACTAACCGCCTAAAATGGGCACCAGGTAAAGTCCGGGGAAGTAAAGGTGGATGGCATGATGTGGTCTAGTGCAGATTGGTCTATAAATATAGATCTAGCGCTTTATGCCCAATAGGCCTTGTGGCGTAGAAAAGGGTCCTTTACCTTTACTGTAGCTATTTTACGTTCAGAACTTTGCCATAAAAACATGTATACAATTCAGAAAATTACAAAGCATTAACAGATATTTTGGATTCCCGTGTGAGTCTCGGGGCCCTATTGTGGGGGAATAAAAGAAAAAACCTACTGCCTTCCCAACAAGCATGTCGTAAGAGTGGACTAATTGGGGGCTTTCTTCGAAGTCAGAGTGCATCTGCCTTACAGGCAAGGAACCAACAATCTGCACAGAATTAAGCCAGATCTGTTAAATGGATGTGCAGGCACCACTCAGGTTTTGGAATAAGACTAAAGTCCAGAGGTGGACAAACAACCAGAACTTTTTGCCAGTGAACATGTTAGAAGAAGAAAAAGATCTGGACTGTACAATGCTCACCCATCATTACCTTGACTGTCGAACCATCGACTATTGTTCTGCTCTCGATGTCATCCTCTGACAGGAATGCTTCATCAGGCACCGAGTACCAACCAGAGTAAGATCCATGGTAGATGTGGCCTGCTTCAACCAGTTTGTGCTGCCAGAAAACAATCAAGCCATCACTATCATATGTTGTTTTCAATAAACATGTAACACTATTAATAACTGGAAAATATACATGATAGATTAGTTACCAAGCCCAGTTTTGTTTTTGTTTTTACTGCTGTGGTTATTTTAGGCAAATTTTACGTACAGTAGTTTTCCACTGCCACTAAACGGTCAGCTCTCGGTACCACTGTCGAGACCAACACATTACAAACCGTCTGCAGCTGGGATGGAACCCGGCACAGGGGCATTACAAAGTGCTTTCGCAATGCCTAAGTCACAGACTCCAACATACCAGCTGATACCTTTAGGTCGGCTGTTTTTATACTGTGCCGTCTCCACAATGTTTACTGTGGTGGGTATATTTAGCTAATTTTATTTTTAGAATATCTTGTGTCAGTTTCATATGCTCAAGTTATCAGCTGTGTTGCCTCTATGAACAAGAATGTCAGCAGCAAGTCTCCAAGGGTGGTTCCCCCAAAGTTTATCCTAGATGCCTCTGCAAATGTTCTCATTCAGGTGTGGTTGTAGAAGACAGTTCTGCAGTATGTTCTCAGCTGTGTGAACTGCGGTTTAGCACAGACACTGGGTGGGTAGATTTTGCAGCGCCTTCATTCAGTGCATGAGTGTGTTTATCTCTGGTGGTGATTCAGAATGGTAGTCCTGTTTTGGCAGTGTTTACTCTTTGGCCAGTTTATCCACCATCTCATTTCCTGCTATGCCACAATGGGCTGGGATCCACTGATCTCTGAGAGTTTGTTTAACAAGCAGGTCATCTGCCTTGTTCTCTGTGTGCAGCCTGTAGTTTGACGAAAGCTCTCCCATGACTTTTACTATGTGGTATGTTAAATTTACTGAGCCTTACTGATGCTGCATCAACAACAACAAATTTAATAAACAGTGAAAGGGCAAAAAAAGCTCTTGAAATATGATTGTACAGATTAGTGTTCTTCAATCCGCGGGCCGTTGAAGGACATATTGACTTTACTGCCAAGTATAATTCTCTTTAATTTAATGTGGCGTCGGGATGGGGTATCTTAACCTTTTGGAACCCTAATCCCACCAGATAGAAAAAAAATTTAATCATTATACAGAAGGATTTGAACCTGGGTGTTCTTAATGAAAGACTAGTGTTCTAACTGCTCAGCCCCCCCACATTAGACACAGCGTGTAGGAGAAAGACAGCATTACAGACGAGTGGTCAATTGAAGAGATGGACTAGGAGAAGCTTAACCTTTGTGACTGAGAAGTTGCATAACTGACACTTCTGGTTGCATCTATTACTCCATAAATGTCCTTTTCCGACTTGTCAGTAGTGATCTGTTTACGAGACGCATAGTTAATTCTACTAGCTGATTTCTCAGGTAGACCAAGCCTAAAATGGTTACCAGGAATGATCCTTGGCAGTAAAGGCAGCCAGTACGACGTTGACCATATTACCCATCAAGAACAGACTGGTCCATAAAAATACGCATTGTATGCCTCACACATCACTGACATGTAAAGGGACCTTTTTTATTTCTTCAGTAAGCTGAAAATTCTCACAGCGAGAACTAACCACCCATATCAGAAAAAGGGAAATCTACACTCTTTGGTCAAGATATTAGAACAAGAAAGTTAGAGTGCATCAAGAGGGTGGGAGAGTTGGAGGGAAAGAGAGGCAGAGCGAGACTGAGAAGAAGATGAACAGATTCACATGTCATGGAGTGGAAGAACATATGTGCCAGAAGTGAATGAAAGTACATGAGACAGAAGGCTGTGGACCTACATGGCTGTCAACAACACATGGCACAGACGATAAGAAGAAGTTACAAATTGCCATAACGGATCATTTACGCTGACCTAAGATACTCCAACCTATGAAAAGCAAAAAACTAATTTTCTAACCCAGAAAGCGTGGACAGCTGCTCGGTGTGCTGGAGCTGTTGTTCTCACAAATGTGTCATACTTGATCCCTGCAGCATCAAATGTTGACTGTAATCAGAAGGAAATCACAAAGAAATATTTTCTAAGAAATACTGTTTTTACCCGTGTATAAGACCAGATATGTTCGCAAATTTGTAAAGTTTAAACTGAGTGCTGTCTTGAACGTGGAACTTGTTGAAAAATTTCACCATTTTGGGTCCACAAATTTTTTAGAGGCCTCAGAGATGTGGTTTAACAGAAGAATGCTTAGAATACCTTGGACAGCCAAAAAAGAGCAACCAAGAGGTTTTGAAAGAGGCGGGAGCCCGAAGACAACTTATCACAGACATCAGAAGGAGACAGTCATCATTTTTCGGCCATGTTATGAGAAGAGGGAAAATAGAACATGTTGTGACCACTGGAAAGATCTGTGGAAAAAGGGATAGAGGAAGACAACGAGAGAAGATGCTAGACAGTCTTGTTGCATGGCATGGAGGTGTGTCGGCACACGAACTGATACATGCTGCAGGAGATCGCAGATTATGGAGAGGCATGATCGCCCACACCAGTCGGCAAGGCACTTGATGATGATGATGGGCCCAAAAAAATGGGTGTGGCTAGCAAACATGGGAGCATCTAATGCCTGAAAAATATGGTAACTATCACAATATGCTAGAGATGTTACTTCATTTACAACAGTACCAGCATAAATCAGTGGCATAGATGTTAGTGTGCCTACTAACCAAGAATGGTTAGGGTTTAAATTCTAAAAAAATTTCCTGTGTGAGTTCTAGGGGCCCCACGGTGCAACTCTCACACCACTGTCCGAACATCCTAGGAGCGGATTTTTTTAATGCCCACCATGGGAAGCAAACCACAGCACCCAAGAATCATGAAATTTTTAACTACATTAGCAAAGACGTGCGGACCTTTTCGATTTTTGAAGATTGTTCACTGACCCCATACTTTCTAACAGCAATACTGCAGAACTTATCATAAATTATAAATATTAGAATCTCAAAAAAAAAAAAAAGGATTGCACTCTAAAGTTGAGGATTTCTTAAATGTATAACTGATATCAAGGAGTCCTTAAATTTGTTCCATGAAGCCGTTGAAGTCGGCACCATCAAATGGTAAACCACTCTAAACTAATTGAGAAAGTATTGTTACAGGAAAGGGAAGTGATAATTCCAGCTTGATGTCACTATTCAGTACAACAGGGTTTCAAATGAAAACCTTACAAGTGTTACAGAAATTACAATAACTATGCCACCGTCTTGTAACCTGTCCATATCGTATTGTTACAGAACACGGTACAGACAAGCGCAGTGATGTTGTGATGACAGTTTCAAATATAGCCGTCCAACTTTGAAAATGCACCAAAGAGGAGCAGCGTTCTGTTTTTCTATCAGTGAATGGGTGAAAGCAACAGAAATTTATTAGTGAATGATGATGTTATTGATCACTCCCCTTGCTATGTATAGTTTTGTTCGTATTTTGGATCGCAAATTGATTTCACATTTATTTTTGTTTCCATTATAAAATGGTTGTTGGTCTAAGGAGTTTGGTTTTCAGGAATTTCCTAAAAATGAAAAGTACATGAACCTGGCTTTATTTATAGAAATTCCTAAGTCATATTCTTTTTATTGGCTACAGGGCTGCTGTGTCACAGGGTCAAGTAACAGCCACTCTTTAATTAGTATAATTAGTTTACTGGCCCCCAAGAGATGTAAATCAGCTTATTCCAAGCTGTATTTGTTTTTACTGGTCACTCCCCTTAATCTGTACAGTATCTGTTCATGTTCTGGATGATAAATAAACAAATCTTGTGAGATTTGTATTTGTATGACATGTGTAACATAGTTGTTTTTCTAAGGATTTTTGTTTTGTTTTCGTGAATTTTCAAAAAATGGAAAGTACAGGCTTTATTTCTACTATGTCACGGTGTGTATTAGTGTTAAGTACTTCTGTCTCATGGTATCTGTTATCTATCCCTTCAAGACTCATGCATTTAACAGCTGAAAGTTCAAATTCTTGGAAAAACCACTGTCATAGCCCTGTAAGAAGGGTATGGGACAGAGTAAACACGATACGAGTTGTAACTTCATGTTTGTGTTTGACGGACAAAAAGTGCACCAGCGGTCAGCCAGCTGAATTGACGATATGGGGAAAACCCATTTTACTTGAACACCGGTACTAACACGTTTTACCCGAAGTTGAACGGGGGAGAGAAGGGGGGCGTTGGGCAGGGACGTATGAGGCCAAAGACGTATAGAGACGTGATAGGTTGTATTGTGTTAGGAGTTGATAGGGACTGTTAGCGTTGTCGTCATATGTGTTGGTTAGCTGGTGGTATTCCTCGTGTGCTTATAGTATGCTAAGACAGTTGTGTTGGTGTTGTATCGTGCTTAGGTAGGTGTTCTTGTCTATGGGTTTTTAGAGTTCAGCTGCGTTGCGCTGGCGTTGACACTGCCCGCTAATACTTGAACCACTCATCCTGTGTGTGCCACTGAGTCTCGCATGGCGAGGACCACAGCCTAGTTGGCACTGTACAAAAGGAGGTGAAATAGTGTCCTCTGGTACATCCATGGGAACAGCTCGGGGTGGATAAGTAAATATAAATGCTGCCACTGCTGGCGTTTTGGATTCGGGGCTGTCCATCACTGTTGAGGTGACTTTAGGCTCAAAGTCTCTTTGTGCATTAAAGATTATGTGTGTACTCAAGTGTGTGTTTTAAGTGTGTTCTGGTATAGTGTGTCTGTCACAGGGCCGTACAACGAGCTGTAGTTAAGTAGTTTAGATATAAGGTCTTTGACAACCACCTGGGACAAAAAGAAATAATAAGAGGATTCATACATGCTGAAATTTTAAAAAATACCTGAAATTTTTGGGAGATGCTATCACAGAAGATTTGAGGTTCCAGGTTTGCTGATGCCGCAGCTTGTTGTATCTTAGTGTCAGAAAAAACAAAATGCCCTTATTTAATGAACACACAGTATACGCAAATGCATTTAACAGTGTATAATATACAGTGTACAGGTATAAATAATATGCCCCCCCCCCCCCCCCCCGACTTCCATTACAGCATAAGACAAACACAATCAGCACAATAAAACATCTTATGCAAAGCATATTCACTCCCACTCTATGCACAGAACTAATTCTAAATTACAAATAAAGACAGCAAATTAAATGGTTTCGGCACTTAGAGGAAATGCTTTGTGACTTATACCATACAAGGCTTACAAGAGAAAAGGAGAAGGGCATAGAGCACAATGTAGACCAAGAACAAGATTGGACAGATCTGACACATTTGTGTGCAGAATGTTGGTTCCTTGCATCTCAGGCAGATGCACTCCGACTTCGAAGGAAGCTCCCAGTTAGTCGACTCTTACGACATGCTTTTGGGTAGGCAGTGCGTCTATTCTTGTTTTCCCTATAACAGGGCCCGGGAACCCACAAGAGGGTCAATATATATAATTCCACATTTTATGTGCCGCCTTCTCCTAGCTGTAACATTTTTGTCTGGTTCTTGTTGTTTCTCCATGTCATCTTTTTAATGGAACATAGGTCTCAAACCAACTTCCCATCATCATCATCATGTGTCTTGCCTAGCAACAGACACTCATGTCTCTCCACAGATCTCGATCCTTGGTTATTTTTTTTTTTTAAATACCACTAATGATATTCTATCATGCCATCACCTCAGCCCGTCAGACATCATCTCTCTTGGTCTGCGTCTGCCTCTTTAACCGCTGATCTAGCCAGTCAAGCACAATGTTCTCCAATGCCTCTCTTCTCAAAACCAGATCATGCCAAACCTTTATACACTTGTTTGTTTTTAGTTATTTGTTGCAGCAAACATGAACTGTATGATTTTTTTTTGGGAAGGGGGGGGGGGGGGGGTCAACCCTCTGAATATTCTTTGTTTCTTCAATCCCCTTCCGTACCAAGCAATTCTCATGGCTGCTTTTTTTCCCCCAATGTTTCAACTGACAGGATCAACTTTCCTAACTCCTGTTTAGTTATTACACTAATCAGTTCTGCCCAATTGTGGCAAAAACAAGGACAGACTCACTGCCTCCCCAACAAGCATGTCCTAAGAGTCCTTCGAAGTCAGAGTGCATCTGTCTGAGAGGCAAGGAACCAACAGTCTGCATACAAATAAGTTAGATCTGTAAAACGGATGAGCAAGCAACACACAGGTTCTGGAACAAGTCTAAAGTCTGGAGGTGGATGAACAACCAGAACTTTCCACCAGAGTTTACAGATGGTGAACGTGAAGAAGAAGAAGAAGTTCTGCCTCGGTCGTTACTTTATGTCATTATCACATTGTCCTGCTGTGCCATTATATATCACACCGGGCTCGCAGTCTATTCCTCTATTCCGTTCTATTCCGAGCAATCCCTTTGAAATCATGGATTGAATTCAGTCCAGCACCTGTGGCCTCTCTCATTAACATTGGTCTTAGCTGCAATAATACTGAGTCATTTAGATTGGACTTTCTTACTTTTAGACCATGCTCATCTGTTCCTGTTGCGAAGAGAGTGGTCTGCCCCTTGACACGGCGCCATCTTGCTTGTGCGTCTCCCAGAAGGCAAGAGTAGAGGTGACCTATATGTGGAGCTGAAATACAGATTAAAATTATGGAGTTGCCTGTGTGTTAGTTATCAGGGCCCAAGCAGAAGAAAAGAATAGTTACACTAACCTAGAATGTGTGTGAGACTAAGCAGTGCTAGCCTTCTTCTGCTTCTGCTCTTTATCCCTCAATGGAGCACAGACTCTCAACCAACTCAACAGCAAGTCACCCTCTCCTTTGCTATTGCAGGCAGCTCCCTTCATGTCCTCCCCATCTTTTTTAAATTTCTCGCAAGTTCTCTTCTCTATCTGATTTTTGGGTGTCTGCGTTAATTTCTATGACAATGTGTGTCTTCTTTCTTTTTCTGTTGTCTCAATGATACCAAGTGATAACCTAGTGTTGCGGTTTTCTGTTTTTGTCTTGTGCTTCTCGGTTGACTTGAGTGATGGATTTGTCAATCGTTCAGCTATACTGTTTATCCATCTCTTTCTTTGTCTTCCTTTCACCTTTCTTCCAGATGTTCTACTGTAAAATGTTTCACATGTAATCTGGTCTGGCTTCATTCTCACTAGATGGCTGAACCATTTCATTCTTTGTCTGTCAATATAATCCAGACATAATCTTACTCCAACTTTATCTCTAATGCTGGTTATTCGTAACCGCGTCGCTATCAAAGGCCAGTTTGGTTACAGGTTGAGTAGGTGTGATGATAGTGAATCATCGCGGGGGTAGGAGTGACCCTCGGACGAACTCAGGACAAGACTGGAGAGTTTGATCACGGAATAAACTGTCCGGTGAGTTGGACTGAGCCCTGCACCTGGCGAGTATCACGAGGGACAGCGTGTCAGGACTGAACACGGCAGAGAAACAAAAGTCTCGAACAGAGGTTGTCATAGGGGACTTGGGTAGGACGCTAGGACGGTACGTTTGCTGGACAGTGACGGTTAACCTATCATATATTAGAGACGATTAGCAAGGATAGTGTTTGTGATTAGGCTTTAGTTATGAAGGGTTTCCATACAGTGTTGTGACAAGATTATTCATGTGTAGTGTTACTGGTGTAGTAGAAGCTTTCACGCAGTCTGTTAAGCAGGTAGTTAGTGTTGGCATGTACTGCTGGCGGTGTTAACACTGCCCACTCATACTTTGGTCACTCACCCTGCGTGGGCCACTGAATCTCTTGTGGTGAGGACAGCAGCTTAGTTAGCGCTGTACGACAGTGAGGTGGAATTGAGTCCCCGTGTATATCCATGGCACGGTGTGTATTAGTGAATGTAAAAGTTACCACAGCCGGCGTTTTGGATTAGGGACCGTCCATTACTGTTGAGGCTTGCTTTAGGTTTAATTGCTTGTTGTTCATTAAAGATTATGTGTGTATTTAGTAGGTGTGTGTCCTAAGTGTGTTTTAGGGTAGCCGAGTCTGTTATCCGGCATACTTCATGAGCCAGAGCAATGAAATACGAAAGTAGGTCACTGACAGTCGCATCTAGGGTTGATAGTGATCTTGCGGAGACAGCAAATTTCACACATAGTTATTTTCTGTTCTAGTGCCCTATTCATTGTCCATGTTTGGCACTGATAACGTACAGAAAAAGATGCTTTTAATCCTTTGCTGCTTTGCTGGAAGGAAGACATCTGGGTGTCTAAGCAGTGGGGCTGACTGGTAGGTGACAGCATTTGCCTTCTGTACTCTGGCTTCTATCTCTCTATCGAGTCTGCCATCCTTCGTAAATGTGCTTCCTAGATATTTGAATTCTTTTACTTGTTTGATTGTAGTTCTGTTAATATGAACGTTCATAGTATTATGTTTCCTGCCTATTCTCATTACCTCAATTTTCGCAGTGTTTATTCTCATGTCATACTTTGTGCAGGCTTGATGTAAGAAGTGTGCTGTGTTCCAGCATCATGACATTCTAATTATATTGTTCTCATGTTTTCGTAGTGTGTGTTCTATCCAAAGTCTTGTCTTTTGTCTGCCCCTTTTTTCACTGGAATTTGTTCAGTTCTCTCCCAATGCTCAACATTAGTGATGATTTAATGTGCTAGCATGACAGTGGTTCTGTTCTTCTACTTCTATGTTCGCCCTTAAAAGGATGGCTGGCTCATTGTGCAGTTGTTTACAGCTAGGCTGTGATATCTGCACCTTTTGACCCATCTGATTTCAGCAAACCCTAAATCAATCACCTTTTATGACATGCTTATTATGGGAAAATTGGGTGTATACTTTTTCCAACCAAAAAGCCCCCCCAACTATATGGTACAATTACCTGTGTAAACTGTAGCTGGGAAATCCAACCCATTCTAAACTGTTTAACATGCGATAACCACAGCTCACACACTGATCACAAAGCTCAATAGATGGAATGGGAAAAAAAATTATACAGCCAAAACTTTTCCCGAAGCAAATCAAAAAACTTGCCAAGACTAGAATCAGTCAACTTGTCTATCAGCCTTATTGGGCAGATTGTGCCATTAAGTCCCAAAGGGCTAGCAGCCTAGTTCTTCATCCTATTCTATCCTGTATAATCCTTTTGACATCATTAATGGAATCCAGTCCCGCACTTGAAAAAAAAAATCATGCTGAAATCACAATAATTACATTGCATTAAGAAAGACCAAATTAGTAATGTCACAAAAAGTTACCACCGCTAACAAAAAATATTGCAATATCTGAACAAAGAAGACATAAACAATCGACTGAATAATCTATTGTCAGGTATAATCTGCTCTATCTCATCAGGTGCATTCTACAGCAATAATTGAACCAAAAGAAGCATGTCAACAACCCTTCAAACATAAATATAAAATCAACTACACTCAAAAGTAACTGCCTGCTTTACCAGGGCAAAAAAGGCAGGTTAAAGGCCATGTCTTTCTGTAAGCACCTGTCTGGACACAGTAGTTTTTTGCTGTGGCTTCAACAAAGTGTAGCATGCTATGATTGGTCAACGTATGCCAGGCAATAAATAATGCAATCTATTATTTGTGTCTTCTTTGTTCAGTTTTACAATGGGGAAACACTACCTTCAAATTTAAATATAAAATCAACAACATTCAAAAGTAACTGCCTGTCTTACCAGGGCAAATGCAGGTTTACGACCATGTCTTTTTGTAAGCACACATCTGGATGAAGTGATTTATTGCTATGGCTTCAACAAAGTGTAGCTTGCTATGACTGGTCGATGTATGCCAGGTAATAAATAATGCAGTCTATTATTTGTGTCATCTTTGTTAAATTGTACAATGGGAAACACTGCTATGATAAGAGTGTTATTACAAGTGTTACCCGCACTGAGATAAAACAAAAACAAACAATGTCCTAACAAATGTTACCTGCATTCACATAAAATATTGGTGTTGTCACAAAGTATGGCTTAGAACAAGCAGAGGTAGTCAGATGACACGTTACTGGCCTTCTTCTATGGAAGTGCTTACACTTGGAGAACAGCCTCCAATGTAAAACAGTTTTCTTCATTCTCTGAAACAAGACAACAGCTCAGTCACATACTTATCTATCCTACTGCCTCCAACAAAGGTGAGCTGCACAAATTTTCACTATGGGAATATTACGTGGTGAGGCCCTAAACTCTTCCAAGGTGTGACTCTCATTTCACTGTCTAAAAGAGAAGCAAGACAACAGTCTGTGGAGATATAGCATAACTGACTGGCTGATTTATGGAGACGGAGGATGTGTGAGAATCACATTCATTCTTGAAATTCAATTATCAATAATTAAGACACACCTGGCAGTGCAGCCAGCAGTGTTAGGGGGCAGCTTGCTATCAAAGGAGGGACAAAGCATGAACTACCAGCCTGCCACTTTCCAGTAAGTCAACCCCACCTTCTTGAGGTGCACAATGGTAAACTGTATCCCGAAGAACACAAATTAAGAGGGAAATGGCCCCACAGAATGGACTGGGCTCTGCAAGCTTTGAGTACTGCCCAAGATACACCATTCTTTGTCATGTTGTACTATTATATGTAACACAGAGTTCACTGTCTCCAGTCCAATCTATCCTGTGCAATCACTCTGATATCATGAATGGAATCCATTTCAGCATCTTTGGCTTCTTTCATCAAGATTCACATTAGGTTTTCTCTTGGATGGAGATGCACCATGATGACTGATAAAATGAATTACTCTACACCAGCTCAGCCATTGCCCAGGTTACCAAGATAGCACTCAGTTGAGCTGAGTTAAGAAGTGACATCACAGCACTCAGGGCATTCCCATGGTTGATCCATCCTCATCTTCAGCAGCCAGCGCTCAGAGTTTCAATACTGATGGTCCCGGTCACAATCTGGTTAAATGTCTGTCTTGCCTTTCCTCTGAGTGTAGTGAGCCGGCCAGACCCTCTGGTTACACCCAGGTGCCTCATTCTCCCCAGGCCATAATAATCTTGTTTCTCTACTAATTCCGTTGCTTGTTCCGAAAGGGCCTTGACCACATCTACCTTGTCATGTATCAACTCACCACCCAGTGATGCAGATCCAGCCAATCTGTCTACCTGTTATATATGAGAGCTCTCAAATATGCAACAAGTCCACGGCATCTGTCTGACAGAGGTAGAAGGATCTGATCAGTCTTGCTCCAAAATCTGAGTGTTGCGTGCACATCCAACTTATCTATATGCAGACTGTTGATTCCTTGCCTCTCAGGAAGATGCGCTCTGGTTTTCGCTGGATCATGCTGAAAGAATCACTCAGCAAACACACGCAGGAATAGTCCTGTGATTCTAACCACTTGAAAGCTTGTGTTAACCCCATCGTCACGCTGCTGGTGGTCATGGAGAAAGCACCACTAGCTTCTTAAAATGTTCTGCCTGAAGAGCGAGCTGTAAATTCCCATACCCTCTTATGTCCGCGTATAACAGACCCATCTGTGAAGATCAGCATATCTGTCTCATCTGACTTGTCACTGATAAGCACGCATATCACAGCGGGATTCTGCTCCTGGCAACTCTTTTCAAGCGTGACAACACAGAAGAATGTGAGATTGGGTGCTTTAGATGCTGGTATCCATTCCTCACCTGGATGGATATCTGTAGGGCTGCAGACCTGCATGATGTCATCTCCCGCCCTACACAGTCATGACTGGCCCCTTTTAAGTCCTTTTTCCTGAAGAGCATGTGGTGTAAAGGGTGCTTCATATCTGAGCTTATCTTGAGGTATGCACGAGCCCTCCAGATCCTGATCCTGTAGTTCATGGTATGGAAGTCAAGAAGGTATCCCACTGCTACAGAAGAGGTGTCTCCAGTGTACCCCAGAATAATGCGCATTGCTCTGTTTTGCATCTTCTCAAGTCTTTCAATATGAGTATGGCTGACAGTGAGAATGGCTGGAGCATATTCGATGGGAGAAAGTACATTAAGTACAAGTCCCTGGAACAGAAGCAGAAGCAGTCTATGCTCAATATTTTCGGCGGCCAGGACCCTCATTGCTGACAGGCCTTTGCTTGCTTTTGTTATAACATCGTCAACATGTTCTTTGAAGGACAGGCTCCGATCATACTTCATTTTGAGGAATGTCATCAGATTTGTTCTCGTCAGAATTTCGTCTCTGAAATCCTTTATAACTGAAGTAAAATGTGTACATGAAGTAACTTTAAGTATGTCAGTTTAGTAATTATAAATGAATTAAATGATCTACCTATTTGCTTCCTTCTATTCAATTGTTATCTCCCTGAGGAAATAATCGAAATATGCCAGGTAATAAACTGTACAATCTACTGTTTGTGTCTGTCTAAAGTTTAGACAGTTTGTAAACTTTATTCAAATGTAATGAAATGTTAAAGTAAAGTTAAAGTATTTATTTATCTAATTTATAATTTTTAATTTTATTAAGGTTTCAAAAGTAAACAAACTACAAACTAAATGAAAACTTTAAAAAAACAACTCACAAATAGTTATCCCAGTCAGTAGCGTACAGTTAATTATTATTACAGTTAATCTAGTATATCTTAATGCTGGCCAAGCAGGGGGTCTGCAGAAAGTCAAAACAGAACGATATATTATTTAAGAAAGAATAAACACTCTAGTCTGCTCTTGTAGGATAGCGGAAATAAGTCGTAACACAACGGTTTAAAATAATTTCGTCATTTAACAATGTTTTTTCTAATGATGAACAATACAGACTATGGAGGGATAAAACTATCGTGCTCCTCTAAAAAAAAAGGATAAGACCAAACTCAACTTAAGATCAGACTAGAAAAAAAAATTTGTACTACGACAATTTATTTTAAAAATGCTTTCAATATTATTTCTACCACAAATATAATCCATAATTAAGACTATTAGGTAGGTAAGTAAGTTGTACCCATCGCCAGCTCCACTATCTCCAGTATCTAAGGTTGTACCCCAACGCGACTTCACACAAGCGATAAACACCCAGTGACCCAAGATGTCACCATGCGGATGAGAATTACCCGTGAAGAGGTCCTGAAAACTCCGTTCAACCGTTAGGCTATATGTAGGGCCCTCGGCAAAAGCCAGGGTAAAGTAAAAATCCCATAGGTATCCACGCTTTTAGGCGTATAGGGCATATAGGGCTAGACCTATATTTTTATAAACCAATCGGCACTAGATGGGTGATGTGGTCAGTATCCTGGGACTGCACCTGGTACCTACTCAAGGCTAGGTCGACCTGGGAGTCAAAGTCATTTCTGAAAAAAAAAGTGTGGCTCCAAAAGCCAAGTTGGGGCTTCAAAATAACGAAAAATTGCATCCCACGAGGGAATAACGAAGAATTGAATTAAGACTGTCGGCCAGACTGCTGGATTTCATTCGTCTGTTGAAACACGCAACCGGTGTCCTGAATTAAATTACGAAGTTGTTCCAGGAGATGTCATGACTGTATCAGAAGAAAAAAAAATGTAGATTTTTGTAATTGAATAAATACAGATTTTTGTACATGATAAAAATGACATCCCCTGAAAATACCCCTACAGCGATTATTCAATATAAAATAACAGACCCGATCTGTTTTTTTTTTTTTTTCTTCACCGGAAAAACAAGGTAAGTTTGACATATTATCGCCGAAAACGAGTGAAAAGGTACGGGGGAGAAAACGTTTTGATCAGATCGCTATATCTTAAAAAGGGAATGAAATGTGTCAACGTATGGTTTGTGACTGAATATAAATCTCAGCAGACCCACTGCCTACCCAAAAGCATGTCGTAAGAGTCGACTAAATGGGAGCTTCCTTCGAAGTCGGAGTGCATCTGCCTGAGAGGCAAGGAACCAGCAGTCTGCACACAAATGAGTCAGATCTGAAACACGGATGCACACGCAACACTCGGGTTTTGGAACAGGACTGAAGTCCAGAAGTGGATGAACAACCAGAACTTTCCGCCAGAGTTTACAGCTGGTGACCGCGAAGAAGAAGAAGAAGAAGAATGTCAGCTGTCGATTCACGCGTTATCTCTGTGAAACATTTTTTAAGAATATATTAACTCTTTTATTCCGATGTGAATGCTACTTTACTCTAAATCCTGATAAGTTATTAGTTTAGCCAATGGGGCCGTGTTAGCGCAGATGATAGAAGACTCGCTTTCAAATCGAGCTGCAACTCGCTGCAGCCCACGGTCGGTGTTCGAAACCGGGCGGTTTCCGGGGTTCACACAGCCTCTAAAAAATGGGTATTAGAGTTGACACTCTGGGGTAAATGGAGGAACGTCGCTGTAGCTACAGAGTTACGTGCTGACGGTGACACAGGCGAACAGTTTCTTATCAGCTATCCGTACTGGTGGCAGAGCACTTATGGTTTATAACCGTGTGCAGTGACGATGGTTCATATCTCCCCCATCATATAGCCCCCATCATTGTCTTCAGAAGACATAAGAAAAACAGTGACAACAGACGTAAAGTGTTTATATATTATGCTAGGTGTAACAAAAAAGGATTTACTTTATTGGAAAACAGTAGATTAAATCTCCATGTAACAGGCAACAGAAAGGTCACCACAGAGAGTAATGTTAGAGATCATCATCACACATCGGACATGAGCATACGTGCTCCAGTATCCTGCTGAGTATATCTCCATGTGTTTTTAGGCTAACAACACCCATTCTGTTCTGGCTATATAACGATGGGTGTCGTTTTTTGCTCCATTTGTAGACTGAAAGGATATAGTTTCGTCACCCAGCTACTGTGTTGAGTGCATGGCGTTACACTGTGAGCTGCGGATTTCATTTATAATGTTTTTCGACTGTGACCAAAGTGGTGTTGTGAACTGTAGATTCAGAAAATGGCGCAATATTGGTAGTGCCCTTATGTGATTAAAATTGATCGCCTGTGCAACTGCTGATCTGTTGGTAACTTCTGCTGCCGTCGATGATGAACTGCATTTCTAATGTCGGACTGTCTTAGCACTTCTAATGGCTGCCGTATGCCTGTATATGCTATTGCAAATGCTGAGACAGCAGTCTGTCAATCTTTCCACAAGGGACTGTGATATATATGATATTCTGTGTGTTTT